CCATTTTCCATTGTGAATAAATTGAGTTTTTTACACGAAACATTTTCAAGGTTCGACTGAAATTCGTACTGATAATACTTATGTTTTGTGAAGTTATTGAATTATATTGAAAAAAAAATAATGCAAACAGCTTTTGTTAGTTTTTGTTGCTTGGTTGAATAAATCGGGTTAGAAGAGCATTTTTTGTTATAAAAATATAATCTAGAATTTTTATCATTATCATCTGTATCTCGATAATGAGTCTGAAGCTTTTGAAATTAAAAATAAGAGCACACCATTTACTCTTTAGAACATGTCTTTATATACATCACTATAATACATCATCACGTAGCAATAATATAAAACGTAATTTGTTTTAACAGAACTAAAGTTAAAAGTTTAGTAAAAATAAAATTTAAGATACAAATAAAATTAGAACAAATGTAATTTTACATTCAGACCCAACCAAGGAGACCAGTCTAAAATGCGAGTTTGACAAAAACCAAAAATCCTCAACAAGACCTACAGGAAACAAAGTAAATCAAAAACATACTTATAACCCATTCGAAACCACATCACAAGTGTCATCAAACGCCTTACTATGGTCAGAAAACCATTACACACGACCATAAGCTTTTCCTCTAGCTATATACAATAATTGTAATGGTTGGAACACAATAGGAAGCCTTGGGAGTAATGAATTATCTTATTGTTAGCTACCACCAGCCTTTTAGGTCAAGATACGTTTATAGGCCGTGGAACAGGTCAGATTATTTGTGATTGTGAAGAAGAATCAGTCACTTTTTGGGACTATTTTTAAACTAGTTCTAGGTTCTTGTGTCTGATTTATAAACCAGTTCTCTTTTAGAACAGCTATGGAGCTCTTAATGTTTTTTGGAATCCCTATAACGCACTTATAACTACTCTGATGTTGTATATCTCTGATGAATGAATTCGTCGTCAGAGGAAGCGATAGCTTGTTTAGCTTGTTTTCAAATTTTGGTATGTTTTACTATAGCTTTACTATTCAATGACCGATGCTGCGTTATCTGTTTTTAGTTTTGTATTAAGTTGGTTACTATCAATTCAAAATTGATGTTTTCAGCCCAACCAGAGCATTTAACTTGCAACCAATTGACACCATCTTTATTGTTTCCTTGTTATCAAAAGTGAGCGAATAATTGATAGGTAGTAATTACTAGACTATAAGTTATGGTGTGATATTGCTTGTGCTAATTATTATTATTATCGTTGTTTACACGTGTTGACGACTGTCATTGATAATAATGATCCTTGTTAACATAGATAATAATGTAAAAAAATATTCTGTTCTAGTTAGATTTGTGAGACGGTTGGGATTTTGAAATCATTGCATCATATTGAATTGTACTATACACTACATAATTCTCTGCTACTTAGATACTAACAATTATTCTTACTCATTCTATAAATTAAAACTGTGTGTATGTCTTTCCATTACGTGGTAGTCGGAAAACGATTCGTTATCACAGTATGATTTTAGTCTTTGGTTGATCTTGTCGAAACTGTTTTCTTTGGTTGTCTGTTTTTTTAGGTTGTTCAGGTCGTTTGTTGAAATGTTATCTAAACTAAAATAATTAAATTAATTACTTCTCATACTTATTTGTTTATCAATATCAACTTGGAAACCACCAACTAAGAAAAATAGTCCATGACATAACTCAACTACTTATTACAAAATTTCGTCCTCCGGATCTGCGCTGAATTTCCACAGATTCGGATGACATTTCAATCGATTTCGGAACAAATAAAACTGGCCATGGTTGACACTATACCACCATTGTTCTGTCACAATGCAACGGATATTACTCGATGAAATCAATGGGTGTCGATCATGATTAACTTGATAGAACTGTTAAAATAAAGTTAATATTACAATTATAAAACTGAATTTTAATGATTTTAAGATCCTATACATTTTTTTATCCAAAGTATCTTGTTATTATTGAAATATATTTAATTTTTTCATTGTTTTGTATCAAAGATCATCCTATTTTTAATCCCTTCCTCATCAACCCGTTATTTACACAGTCTATGCAAAATATTCAACTTTTTTCTTCTTAATCCTTACCCTTTATCCACTTATCATCGCAACACACCTATACCAAGAATATACATACGTATTTTATGTACAAAGTAGAGTATTTAAAGTTGTTTTTTAAAAACAATAAAATGCTTCCTCTAAATATAATTATTTACGAAATTATATAAAATATCATTACCAACTAGCTATTAAAGACATAAATTGCAATTAATCGATATAATGGAGTAAGCATTAAAATAAAAACTCATTTACGCATTTAAGTAATTGTTTTAATAACCCCTATCCAATTTTATGCCAAGATAACACGCAAATGCGTGCTGTAAGAATTTTGCAGTTTTTGGCAAACAGATAACCAGAAATAAGGAACACTGTTAATAAATAACATCTTAAAAAAAATATTTAATTAACATGCAGTATACATCCTTAATAAAGTATTCCATTAGACTCGGAAAACAATATAGGTAATGGTATATTTAATATTGCTTTCCGCATTATACATTGAAAATATGAATCGTTGTCACGACTTGGAAGATATTAAAATCAAACCCTAAAATAACGTTTTCGAAATTCCTATTTTTAAGTTCCGAACTACACCAACAAATAGACTAGGCAAGGCAAGAACACACAAGTTTAAGCACCAAAAAAGTCTATCAGTCGGTCGGTTCCTTAGAGAAGTTGTTAGAGTTCCACAATAACTATATTGTCTTTCAGCGGGAGACCTACTTACACACAATCAAACGGAATCCAGTACGCGTTCAAACAACGGCCCTATTAAGGTCATTAGAAAAAACAAAAGACAATCAACATTTTTGACTGGAACTTTGATGAGGTATGACTGAGTTTTATAATGAGTTATAAATCTCCACGCATATTTTTATTCCAAGAAAATAGTTACTGTTTTTTACTCTTGTACTTAATCCAGATTCACATGGTTGATAATAATATGATGGCAAGATAATGTACTACATCCTGGCCCGGAGCAGGCAACTCCAACAAGGAGCATAGTGGTAGTTCACCCAGGGTAGGAGAAGTCATTTGATAAACCCTCTTAGAAAATTAAGGATATGGGAATAATAAATTCATTACCAACAAAAACATGTTTCACTTAACATACCTATCATTCAACAAAAAAAAAATACATACAATATTCTCAAATCAGAACTTCATTAAAAGTGAGCTAATCAATAAAAATCACTTAGTCACCACCATATATCAAACGATGTCGTCAATAATAAGATTATAAATGAAAAAGTACCAAACAATAAACATATGAAACCAGTCACGACCTACATGTTACATTTATTCAATAGTTCCCACGAACAGGTGTTATAAGAAATAAATTAATTAGATCTTAATCATATAGCATAGTTGTTGAAGGAACATAAATGGCAGATACAGTGGATAATGGAAGTCAAATTCCAGATAAAGCTGAAGCAGTAGACAATGTTGATGTTAGTGTCACTGTACAAAATGTGAATAATAGGTATATGTTGACAGAATAGGAATAAAACAATTTTTAGAGGGAATTAATCATCAACAGGCTTTTCTCGCTCTAGGTAAGGCAAAAGGTAGTGTCAGGCTTTCACCGACTAAAAACTACCTTGATCTTGTTTATGCTCAAACCTTAGCTTTAGGACAATTTTGTGGTTGCACTCTCAACCCTGTTTGGACATCGGCTCTAACGGGCCCCAAAAATGTATTAGCATTTGAACTTTTTAAAGGTTTAGACAATTATAATGTTGCAATTTTACAATATTTTTAATTGACACATGTAGATCAACATTAATTTAAGGATTTCTATTACAAATATAGCTAATCAATCAATGATGCAGTACGGAATTGAAAATTTTCTTCAAGATAGTACAAAAGAGACAAACATCAAAGAATTACGATGAAAGTTCCCTTACCACAGTATTGACAACAGACAATATCGTAATCAATCATATCATCGAGAAACCTGGGCATAATAGGGAGCAAAACAGAGACCACGTAATAACAACAGAGAGTAGAAACAATACGGCACTCTCTACAAAAACTATGAAAACACAAGACACCACAGAAATGTACTGCAGATCTCTCATACATTGTTCATCTATGGGAACCGCTACCCGGAAACTTTCCACTAGATAAACGTCTATGGGAATGTGTGAAATAAGAAATTCCACTTCTTTAATTGGGATTTTTTGAGTATTTTATTTACATTTAATGTCGAGGTCATCGGGTCATGGAAAATCACCGTTGTGCATCGCATTTTGTCCTAATAATATGGTTCAGTTCTTTATGACCCGAAGTATAGAATGCTAACACACTCTAATTCATCAGTCTAGGGAGTCTTATTTACCGGGAATACCACACTACTCTGTAGGTATCATAACCCTAGCTTGGGGTAAGAGTTGGAACGGGGTACCTGTCAGCTAGAGTCTTACACTACATCTTGCCGCAACGAATCAACAATGAATGAATTACCTACCTAAATTAAAATAAGGGTCTCTATCAAGAAAATTATTAAAGTAGAATTTTATAAAAACACAACATACATAAGGGTATACTTAAATCGCTATAGTCCGTAAAGACCTGTAAGACGATGATTAAGAATAAAACTACAAGTTCCCAAGGTATTATAAAATACTGCATGTCATTTTAAACAGACGTACGTACTACCTACATTGTTTATTTGATAACAATCTCAAATAGTAGAGTCATTTGCCGGTAATCATTGTTGACGGACCACAACTTATGTATTATTATATACTTATGTGCATGTTTTATAATTAACGATATATTTTTTTTAATGATGAAAATAAAATCAACAACGGAAAATATAAATTATTAAACGCTACTCTTAATAACTTGTATTTCAATAGAATCTTCAGTCATTCTTTATAGTCTCAATGAATTCATCCAAAGTTGTTATTAAAATAGAAATAAAAACACTTACCGCAGCATGCTGTGTAGCATCGTTGACATCAGTCTCGAAGTTCCACTGAGCTGCAACATTGTTTGTGCACTCCTTCGACGCCTGATCATCAGCCTGAGCCAAGAAATCTCTAACCTGCTGTAAATTTACATGCTGCAGCCTGTCATCTATATTATTATTATCAACACCCCTGTTAAAATCATAAGGATTAGCTCCAACATAATTAGGATCATTACGAACAAAGTTAGGATCATTTTTCCTGAAGTTAGGATCATTGTTTATGTCTATAGAGTCATCTCGATTCCTGTCATCATAGGGTCTTGAAGTCGAACTAGGGTTTCGCCCATTTCCATAATCAAGACTTGGGTACCCATTGTTGCTGATGTCAGGGTTTATACTGTATGGAGTGGAAGATACTGGGTAAATTCCTGCTGACTGAGTTGATGATACAGGTCTTGCAGAACTGTACTGGAAGTTCCTATTCACATCGTACTGGTTTCCAGGTGAGTTTATCGATGTAGGCGTACTAGACAACAAGCCGTACCCATAGTTGCGTTGCGTGCTTGAAATCGGCGGCAAATCCAACTGCGGTTCAGCGGTGGAGTACGATAGAAGCACCAAAATAACTTGGAACCACATTATGGGGTTTGTGTTTGAAGGATAGTTCATGTTAAGGTGGTCTGTTTGACCTAGTTGCGCGAGGTGAGCAGCCAATGGTGCGTGGTGCTTGTTTGGTATCGCGTTTACGACTGTCCGCCTGCTGCTGGCTTCTGAACTCGGGCCGTGTGAATCGCTTTGTCAGGCTACACTTCTGCGTACCTAATGTACACTAGAGGTCATAATGCGTCACGTCTTACGTTTTTATTATCGATGCACGGGGTTACATTGGATTGTGTAAGCCTTGGCTGTGAGGGGTGATCTTGATTTGAGATGGTAATTATAAAGAGCCTTCACACTTTCAACTTTTTCTCTTCTCTTTTTCTTTTTTTACTTCAAACTTTGTTTAAAACATGGTTTTCCTTACTGTACGTGGATAACTCAGTTTTTCTATTATCCCACGGAAACTACTATACATTGTTCTAATTTACATGATCGGATCTTTCAAAACTAGCACTTAATAATAATTTTGATCATACGCACTAATAATTATTTAAAATGAACTAAACTTATTTACTACTACTAAATTTATTATAACTATAAATGCTTTTTATTCCGCTAGACATAATATATTATACTAATAATACTGCATCTTTTCTTTGAATCGAAAACAGAAAATAAGTCATTTTTACTAGCAGAGCTTATACAATATTCGTAACAATAATCTTAAGATAAAAAAAAAACATTGAACTGGCAAAGGAAAATTAATACAGTGATTTCGAATTCCTAGTAATAAAATTGGCATGGAATGAAAATCTACATAAAAGTATTATTGACGCATTAGGGTTTTGAAATTTTGTGTTTACAATTATGTAAATGGTGTGTCCAATATCTATAATAATATCATAAAGACGTAAAATTTGTTAGTTTGTATGCAGATGGTCGGATTGCCAAAATTCTTTCAATGGTAGAGAGCTATAATGTTCCTGAGTGCTATAGGCTATACAACATTACGCTACGATCAAATGGAGCTTAGCAGCGGGTGAAACCGCGCAAAGTAGCTATATGTAATATCATAAATATATCCTAAATGAAAAATCCTATTATGTATTTGTCCGACTGGAAAGAAAAAGTATAATTTTTCAAATTTAGATTAACGTATGCAATCCTTTGAAAATGCAAAAGTAACTACAGAATAATCAATTAATTACAAGTAATTAAAGATCAAGGACGAGGATAAATCTAAAAGCCTTCAGCAGTTTGTCAAAACAATTTGTCACGATTTATTACTATAATTGTTGGTTTTTATTTATTATTGTCACTAAGTATTTGTTTAATACATTAATGGACGATATTGATTAATTACAGCACAATTAATGTCGCGCCTTAAGAAACATTTCATTAGGATTTAATCAACATAATTAATTGTATTAAGATATGTTTCAGAAGTTGAAGTGAGCCAGAATTTTATTAATATTGTAAACTACTGTTTTGTTCCTCCAGGCACCGTCGTAATCAAATTTTTCAGCTATAGCATACTGTTGGGCAATGTTTTATTCGGAACGAAAATTGTTTATGTGAAAATTATTCAAAGAAACTAAATAGAGAATGTAAATAGTTGCTTTTTGGTAGGAAACTCAAAGAAAATTTTATTTTTAAAAGTTGTGTCTGGTGATAATGACATTGTATCCTTAAATTAACAATGCTTCAGCTTTTTTGAGGGGGTAAAATCATCGAATGACTTCTCTCACTTAGGGTGAGGTGAGACTGAAAGTGTCAGACTCTTACTAAGAACCACATCGATTCTTCTCCTGGCCCAGTACGAGGCCACGGTACCGCAATCTCCGTAGGTACGGCTACAAGCGGCATAATGGACCGCGACCAGGGCCCGCAGCAAGATTTGTTTAGTCAGTAATAGTCTGACAAAACTTCCTCTTACCCTACCCAGGGTGGTAGCAGTCATACCTAAGATGATTTTCCCCGTCAAAAAGCTGAAGCATTCTTAATTTAAAGATACAATGTCATGATCACCAGACACCACTTTAAAAAACAATAATTATTTTCTTTGAAACACGTTCTTCTAAGCGATGTAGTATCAGCTCGCCCCCTGGATCTTGCCCCTTCCGATTAAAATGTTCCACTCGCCCCGCTTTTATTATTTTTGGAGTTGTGGTTCGCCCCTTACGAAAACCCTTACGGGGCGAGTGAAAAATTTACAATAAAATAATTATTTTGGTGCATCGACTCGCCCCTTGCGGCATTCCCTTTGAAATTTAACTAAAAAAGGTATATTCAGAAAAATGTACAGTAAACAAAACTGGTAAGTAATTTAACCACTTGTGATAGTTTTATTACCTGGCTTACCTACTGTAACAAAAGGGACCTTTTTTGGGACCATTATTGAAGTTTTTTTTTTAAAAAAAACATTCATTTAAATATTTTATAAACTTAGAGTGCTGACAGTACTTTTAACTAACCAACAATCGGGGGCGAGTTGGAGTATCTAATAATTTAAGGGGCGAGTTGATGCACTTAGGCAATCAGGGGCGAGATCCAAGGGGCAAGCTGAGCCTACACCTTCTAAGCAAGGAGTTTACTACCATAACGCAACTACTTATAAATCTTTATTTATTTTCTTTGAATAATTTCGACACAAAGGAACAAAAACTATTTTAGTTTCGAATAAAAAAATAATTCTAAATATTTGTTCTATAAAACTTTTCGAAGATAAAATTGTTTAGTTTTTATACTTGCCTATGACAAATAAACCTATATTTACATAACATCCAAAATACCCGTTTCTATTAACAGTACCAACCACTCCTTCGTCCACCATTTTGAAATATGTATAAAGGCGCGTTCACAATTACCCAAAGGGCGTAAAATCCCAGTTGTAATGAATTCTTACATAACGCGATGGCACACTCATTGGTGGCGTAAGGCAAGGTACACTTAGTGTGCACTCCATCTAACAACGTTTAACAATTAACGATTACGAAGAGAGGTTTTAAATTTGAATATTTTGACGTTTTAGGTTTTTTTTGTGACCTAGTTTTTTGGTAGGTTTTACGTCAATTTCCTAATGGAGTAAGAGTTAAGAGTTTAATAGTTGCTGATTTGTTAACTCCTTGTAGTAAACTAAAAGTTGATGTTGGTGCTGAAATAATAACAAACTTAATGTTTTTTTTTGTAATTATGTCTAAAAGGAAAATCTGCTCAATCAATTGTAGATATCTGCATCTTACATCAAAATTTATTTGCAAAATTCCAGGACTATTAGGACAAAAACTACTATTACACGTAAGCTTATCACCTGCACCCCTTATCCCAAGGGAAATGTTTAAACCAGGCTGGTTCAGCTAGTAAATTTAACGCGTTTACTTTAATTTACATTGCAAATATGTTTTTACATTAATTTCGCGGGTCACATCTGTCGAAGAACCGATGACCGCTGGAGTAAACGTGTTCTAGAGTGGAGACCACGTCTAGGCAAACGTAGTGTAGGGCGCCCTCCAGCTAGGTGGACTGACGACATCCGCAGGGTGGCTGGCAGTGGTTGGATGAGAAGAGCTGAACATCGAGCTCAGTGGCGTGCAATTGGGGAGGCCTGTGTCCAGCAGTGGACGACAACAGGCTGATGATGATGATGATGATTAATTTCTCATAAATTTTCTGGTAATATTATCATAGTAAACATAACAAATCCCTTTGCAATTAGATCATAGTCACTTAACATTCATACCAGGCTCCCATTACGAACGAGGAGTGACAAAGAAAACAGGTGACAGTGAAAGTAAAGATAACGCAACTAAGGAAGTTGTGACCTACTCCACACTTATTATCGCCTAGTACTTTTGTAATTTTATGGGAGTTTAAAGTGTATATGGAAATGTCTGACTTATCGACTAATTTTACATAGATTTTACATCAGTTTACTAGTTAGGAGTATTATTTTTACTGTCCTTATTGAAATGATTCATTTTTCATAGAATACTATTTCTTAAGATAATTATTATGATACGGCAAACGAGTTGACACGTTTTACCTGATGGGAAGCAATTAGTACCGCTTCAAATGCCTGCAATATTAAACAAATTTCAAGTGCGTTGCCGGCCTATTGGGAGTAATGAATTTAGGGTTGAGTCTCCAATTACCTCATTCTCATGGTGAAATACAATCCAAGCGTTTTATCACGTCGATTTTCATAATATATAACTAGTCTAAGTTTAAGAGTTCTGCGCTTCAACATGAATCAAAGCTGAAAACCGGCGTGAAACAAAAACAGTAACGTTCATTATTCTCGAGGAAATATGTAATAGGTATCAGGTTAAAATTTTCGTCTTTTCAGTTTTGCATGATGTTTGCTTACCACTTTACTTCAGGAAAAAAACCACATACCAGAATCAAGGTCACATTCAGATATGTAAGAGAAAAGTGACAAATAACAATGTTGTTGCCCACCCACTCTTCATTAGAAGATTGTCGCGTAAGTTTCAGTTACACAATAGCGTACCTACATAGTGCACGCACATGCGTAATATCCCCGACAAGATGGCATCGTCTTCTACACAAATCAAAGGGGAATTCTAAACGTGTGTGGAAGAAAATTATAAAGAACTCTATAGAGCTGTTGTAACGCAAACTCACTGAGAGTGTTTGTATAATAAACTACCCGCACAAATAAAAAGAGAAGATAAAATTAATATATTTTTAAAAAAACTTAGACAATTTTTTTATAAATAAATACTACAATTCCATTAACGAATACCTAAATGATAAAAATATATAGACATAAACAGTCACACGCAATACACACACACACACTCACTTTCAGTGTAGATTAAGTGTTTCAATAAATAATAAAAAAAAATTTAAACATAAATATATATAACTTACTTGCCTATAACCTTAGTCTTAGTCAACAAAAATAAGTAACATAGCCGATAAGAGCTTCCTCTCTCCTATCCCACTTACTTTGCTGTGCCCGACAGGGTGAACTATTTATAGGTACTACCACCTAAGAATACATGTGGAAAGCAATAAAGTATTGAGAATTGAGTATTGAGTATTGACAGTATATCACGAAATACACTTAAAATTGTTGTAATGTTAATCCGTATTTTTCTTAGTGAAAACAATTAAATTCCATCACACAATGGTAGGAAGCTTAATTGCCGTTCCTAGAAAACATTTTTTTTCATTGTATACGCACTTTAA